TTTTTTTTTTTTTTTTTTTTGCTTTTATCCTCATTGACGATGTCCAAAGTGGCGCAAAAGTAATTTACGCGATGCTTGAACCTAAAACAGTGTAGTTGTGAAACACCGAAAACGGCCGAGACGGTCCACTGCAAATAACGCATTTTCTTCGCTCAGTATCTTAGAATCTCTTAGAACTGCATAAATTTTGCTCTCTAACTTCAATGCTGACTTCAGTTCAACGTACTTTTTTCACTTACTTTGAATAAAGGGTTGTGTAAATAGGGTAGGTTGGACAACAAAACAGGAACTAAAGAAACATATTTTACGTTTTTGCAAATTAAAAATTAAGACTTCTAATTCGGCCAAGTTTAAAAAAAAAATCTTAGATTTTCGCAATAGACAGTATGCGATTTGACGTGTAAATGGCAAGCTGCTAAATTTTCTTAAAAAATATTACAGCATAAAGATGAATCGCCAACCACTTACGGGGTGTGACAGACGGACCTCGCAGATACCAGTTTCTCGATGCTGCAGAAAAGAAAGTTTCTTATTCATTACATCAAACGCTTTAAGCCTCGCAAGCTCTCCACTTGCTAACAGCCTTTCAACGTCTGCCAGAGAGGTGATTATTAATGACTTTTAAACGATTTGCTTGCTTCTATTTTTCTGGATTTTGTCTATCCCAAACTTTAGTCAACAATTCTGAGTGCAAAATGTTTCTTGACAGAGCTGTTTATGAAAAAAAAAAGGCAGAGTAATTTACGGTCTTCTAGCCCGGGTCCACAAATAGCTACCGAACGATCGCCGAGTTCACCAACTGCAAGACGCCTATGTAGTTTCCGATTTGATATGAAGATAGATACTGAATTTGGAAAACCGTAGCGGTCTTTTAGTGGTCGTAACGCGGCAAATAAACTTAGACATTTGCGAGCACGTAAAATATAAGTTCTGAAAAACAGAAATTATGAGTTTCAATTACCTCCCAAATTTACGCAAATTAATCTTCAGCAATTGGAGTCGAGGAAGATAATTTCAGATTAAGAAGTTCAATAAATCAAAAAGAGACTCTTTCCGGAATTAAAGCGTACCGTATCTCATCAGGATGTCTAAATACTTGTGCTACAAAGCGAATAGTTTCTACTAAGCGTAATGTTCGACCAGCAAGCTCGTTTACAGCTTGGCTTGATGGATCTGGTGTATTTCCTTCCTAAAAAGTTGTAACAATGCTACTGTTACCTTTCTTGTCGTCTGCAAAGCCGTGAGCTGTCGACTGAAGAAAAAAAACTACAGCGTAGAAATGACTCGCGAAGAAAAAAATAAGGTCCAAGATAAGTTAGTAATAATTCCTTCTATCCCAGATGATATGTAACAGCTTCTAGGTTCGTTCAGTCTTTGAAACAATACTAGATGCAAAACGTATTGTTAAGAGGTTTCAAAACTACTTTATACGACTAGGTACTAGTCCCCGGTCAATATTTGATGGCAATTGCCGATGAAGAATTTTCGCCTAAAAGTTCAAATCTTTTTGTAATTTAAACTTTTTCTTTTCACTGATAAGTTGTTTGTTCGCTACGTTTTTATCAAAATAGTCATGTTATTATAAAAAATCAAGTTTTATTCAAAAGTAGCATAGAATTATTTTACGATTATGAAATTAATAACAAATTCAAGACCTTGATGGCACAGAAGTGCACATTTTTTCGTGCTTGAAAAACTAGTACATGCTTTTAAAAAAAGTTTAAGTTACTGAAGCGTCTAATACAAATAAATAATTCATAAATTTCCACTGATGTCAAACACCATGAATACTTCAACACTTGCTCTTCACCACCTTCACTAATTCTGAGTATTGCTCCTTTGCAGTAACAAACTTACAAAAACTGAAGAAGATAACTGCACAAGAGTTCCACCTAAAGAGAAACTGCACTTCATACTTCCTTTATCTGTAGAACTGAGCAAGGTTGAAAATCAACTGGAACTTAAACCCACAACGTTTTTCTATCACTTGCTAAATAATTAACTTCAAAAATTTTGGGTTCACAGGTTTGAAATACACGAATCTGAAAAAGACAGCGTCATCTTTTTTTTTTAAGTTGTTTGATATCCTGCAAAAATTAGCAAGTTTGACTGTTACTAAACAAACCTCATCAACAAACTCGTAATCTTTTGAATCCAGTGCACACTCATGCTGATCAGACACTTTTTGTAAAAACCTTCGGGCTGCATCGTCAGCTGCTTGTCCAACTGTTTGCATCTGAGAAAAAAGAAAATAAGCATTCATGTTTATTTTGTCTTTTAGCTTGCACAGTAACAGAAAAAACTACTGATCAAAATTCTGTTTTGAGTTAAGAAGTATCTCTTTCCTTAATATCTAACAAGTGCAGTCATTCTCCTTATAATTTAGAAAGAGAATCACTTCTGAAACTTTTATTTAATAAAATTGTTTAATCAAAAGTAAATCAGTTTACTATATGTAACTGACCGGGTCGTTCAGTTTCACGCTTTCTGTCTCACTTTCCGTTACTAGGATGTAACAGGGCTCTGTACTTTTGTACCCAGGATTGTTCGTCTGATCGATCATCTGAATACAAGGAAAAGAAAATTATATTATGGATCCTAACCATTCTAGTATTCTTCAGCTCGCATCCACAAATTCATGTCCTCAAGAACGAATGTACTTTAGTGGCAACTCAAAGACATGCAGTCACCCGAATAGGCGACATATAATCATCCTGCTGATTATGACCGAAATTTTGGAAAAATTGAACAGGAGATGTTTTGCAAAATTGAGAAAAAACTTTAATTCTTCGCTTTCGATGACAGACGCTACATCCAGCTGCCATCTTTCACATTTCGGTCATGTTAGAGAACACTGTGTAAAAACAGCGCGAGAAAAACTTGTTGATTACAAAAAGACACGAAAGACTTGATGGTAATGACCACGAGGCCGTGTACAAAGTAACTTCTCAACTTCTTTTCAAATTTGGTCATAATCGAAGAGGTGATCATTTGTCAGTCATTTAGTAAACTTTTTGTTCTTATGACAGTTGCTATCAAAGTCTTAATTTTCCCACAAAAAACATCAAGAAAATTGAATTTCTTTTTTTTTAAAAGTCCACCGTACCACTGAATTACGATTGCTGCAAAAAGGCTCCTGATCGCCTGTGTCTAGGGAAAAATCTTCTCCAGCCCGAAGCCGAGCAGAAAATTGAAGTGCTTTATCATGATTTAACATAGTAGCAACCTGAAAGTAAGCTTTCCCTAGTTATCAAACCATCCATTCGACCAGTTTGTTAATTACTTTTTTGAGGAATACTGACTGCCTAAAAAAGTGGTTTTGATATTGCAGGAACGGCACTAATTTTTTTAATAGTCATTGAATTCCGACTTCAGATGCTGCATTGTCGAAAATGTTAACATCCGGATCTTCCAAGTGAGCCTGAATTGTCTTCAAGTTATGTGCTGTTATATTGACTCCATTACGTACAGAACCACCCAAAAAACTGTCGTATATTTTCTTCGCCATTATTTTGCGTTTCTGCAAAATGATAATGAAAAAAGTTGTCAAATATTCAGAGAATTATAATTTTTATTTTAACGACCACTGTTTCTACAATTGGGGTATATATACATATTATTTGCGGAAAAAGAAATCCCATATTTTGAGTGAAAATTGAATACACCATAGGGACAAAGTGGTTGTTTACAGATATTAGAGCAAAATTCCAGGCGGGATCTTTTGAGGCACTGTTTCGCCGTATCCATCACTATCCCAAAAAATTGCTGCACTTCACTTTTTTCTTGCACTTTCAACCCTACACTGTTTTTACCAATGAAGAAGCAATCAGTTGCTCGAAAGATTTGTCTCAAATGAGCACCTCCAAAAGGTAAATTTCTTTTTTGAGAAGAAACCTACGTTACATAAACAGACTTATACTGCAGAAGCTGTGTAACGACAATAGACGAAACATTTGACTGCAGAGGTCAAAGTACAAAAGAAACTGAAGAAAGAATATCTATGCGGTTGAATCAAGAAATTTAAAAATAGTGAAGCGTTCAGTAGCACACACAGCCCACATCAATGTAACCTTTTTTCCACATTGGAAAATATCACTTATTTTGCCATTATATCAAAAATAGGGTTTCTTTCGATATTTCTGTAGCATAAAAAAACCACAACTTTTATACATATCACACCTTGACTGCGTAGGGGTTTAGGTCAGTAACCCACGGTCTCTCTTTTTAGCAGACTTGAACAGCTAGCAAAGCTAGAAAGAAGCAGTTTAAACAAGTGTAGCAAAGCATGTTAGAGTCTTTAAAATATTCAAGCATTTTCTAGAGACTTTTTGCAGTACTAAAAACGAACAACACGTTTGAGGTAGCTGTTGTAAAAATTTGAACCACAAAATGTTGATGGAGTTACACGTGTAAAGATCAGAGTTCAATTTTCACGCACTGAATGATATGTTATAAAAACATGCTTTTTACGACGTCATTCATTAGCGCAGTAACGAAAGAAATGAAATAAAAGCCACTTTGGGATAGAAATAGCGTCCACTATTAGATTCAAATACTATGTCTACCTTGTAATTTGAAGATCCAGTTACCAGTTTTGGTGGCATATTTGATGTCGTCTCAACTAAACTGTTTATTCAGTTATATCAAGCAAAAAACACATAAATACAGGGTAAGGCATAAGACTGGTAAAACGAGTAGGATGCGGCTAGTACTACAAGAGACTTCAAAACAGTTTCTAAAAAGCGTACTAAAATTACGCAAAAGCGATAACGTAAAACTAAGCATGTAAAATCATGTGTAGCCATGTTTGGAACGACCAGCACGTATTAACTGAGTGATTTGGACACTGCCTTTTTTATGATATCCAGTTTATCGTGATGGCTAAACAAAGTGAGTACTCACATGTTGAAGCTGTACAACAAGACAAAAAAATTTTTGTCAAAATGCTTAAATAAGTCCCACAGTCATTCTCTTTCTTCTTTTTTTAAAAAAATATGAGCAATTGTTGTCAAATGCTTGGCTACTTCGAAGTGTCTGTATTCTGTCAAGTGCGTTCAGACTGTCCTAGTAGTCTGATTTCTCACTACTGAACGCAGTGTTTCAAAGTTCAGGGAAAAACCGTCGTTTGCAACGGCGAGGAGCATCGCTGTGTTTCACACTGAAGTGAAAGCTACAGTAGCAGGCATAGAAATGATCTGCTGTCAATTAAATTTGCTTCCAAAGAAAAATTTCCGTGTTAAAAACAGGGTGGGCCAATCTGGTTTAAGTTTTCTTCTTACAGATCAGCGAAGAAGTGGGTCACTCGTAAGATAGTGCTGAACGGTGTAGAGAAAACTGTGACAGCTTCTATATTAATTTGGAAACGTTTTTCCAACTATTCTTTTGAAAATATTTAGCTTGACTAATTTTATTATTTGACAAGTAATTCAAAGTACTAAATTTAGGCCAGTTTTTAAGTGAAAATGAAGTTTTTTTGAAAGCCTTCTTAAATTAACGGTCTCTAAAAACCCAATACAGTTATCAAATATTACGAGGAAATTAAAAGAGAACCTTTTCGTCGGCTCGCTTATATTCCACTGAGGCCAAGTAAAAATCTAAAGATTCCTTACATTTCTGTTTCTTTAAAAAAACCTGAAAAAAGAGCAGTTGAATGCTGACAGCTAATACTGTTCAAAATATTGTCGAATTCTTCGCCTATTTTTCCTTCTGTCATTTTTTTTGCTGCAGAAAACTGTAGTAGTCAACTCGAACTTCAAATAATGACTTATTTTGATGTCATACAATCTTTCTAGCATAGTGACTATGAACTGGCACAGTAAAAAAGCCATTCATTTTTACATCTTTTAATTGATACACAACTACAAAATAAACTTTATTTTACAAAGGAAATAAGACATAGCTGAAAATAGAGCAAAACTGTCCAATCTTTGTGATTAAAAAAATAAATACACTGAGACGGCAAATGATTTACGAAACTTACACGGAACTTTTTTGACAGTATTTTATCGGTAAGTACTTTTTCTAAAGTATCGTAACCAGAATAGAGCTCAAATTTCGGGAGAGGTGCATCAGTTGCTTTCAGCGATGTTGTTGGCTGATCTATATTTTCTAAAATTAGAGTTAAAATTGGAAAGAACAATTTGAAACAACAGATATGGTATGCAAAAAGAGTTCCAACCGTAAAGAAAGCACTTTTTTGCGTATGCAACATTTTTGTAAGATGCTTCTCTTCTGAATTAGGCCTCATATGAGATAGTGCTTATCTCTCAAATAGTTGTGTTATTTCAACAAAAAAATTTGCGTGTGTTTTAAACACTCGGTTTAGAAAATTCTTGAAGTATGCTTTAGGTGCACATTTAAAACCTACTTTTTGCATGACTTGTATAAACCGCAGATTCAGAGGTCTTCTTGTCAGCTTCGTCTTTTGACATCTGGAACGAAAATTCTTGTTAAAATTTTACTTTCGCGACAAATCTTAGTTCAGACTTTGTCTGGAATTATTAATATTTAAATATTCAATTTGGTTTCACGATTGTGAGAAGATAGACCAACAGTAAATTAGAATAGACCAAAGGCTGAATGGTTTACATATAGAAAGTTAGCTTTACACAAAGAAATGGCATCATGATTGAAAATAATCCTATGTTGTTGTATTATGCTTCTGAATGCAGAAGAAATCTTAAACTGGCAATGGTCACATAAATCACTATGATCAAGCTGAGTAGGCATGTTCCATCACCCATACTTTTATAGTAGATGTGCAAATTCTTATTTGAAAAAATTTTTGAACAATTTTGGCTACCTCTTAATCTCAGCTTGATAAATGCTCCTTCAAACTCTTTGGTAAAAAAACTAAAAAATAGTCAAAAAACTGTTTCTCAAAACTTTAAATGACAAAATCATTCAAATGACTAGTAGTACAGTAAATAAAACAATGCTTTTGGCAATGAAAGCTACATTTTTAAAGATGGAATTAAATCGCTTTGTCTGTTCCAAGGGGGGTAAGTTCAACGTGGTAATAAGAAAAGTTTGTTTAACTAAAAAATATAAGTGAAAAAGTTGTAGTTAAATATTATCAAAATTTTTAAAAAAAGTGTATAAAAAAGATATAAACCAAGGGGTCGCTTAAAATGAACTGCGATGTGGAGAACACTACTGAGGTTAAAGGTTAAGAAATCTGAGAAAAAATTGTATATAATGACAAAAAAAAATTTTTTTTGAAATCTAAAAGCGTTTTTGACAAAGCTGCATACGTTCGTCAGAGAACTCTAAATTATTCCATTGTCAACGTAAAAACTCTTACTTTTGCCTGTACGAAAAACAATAAAAAACGAAATATGGAATAAAAAAAGTAGTATTAGACGCAAGTATTTTAAAAAAAACTCAGAAAACACCGGTTTTCTTGAGCGAATTCCTCGTTAATTCTATCATTCACACATTTCTCAAAAAATTAAAGCATCTAAAAAATAACACTTGTCGATACCAAAAAGAACAAAGACCCTCTATATTTAAAAGTTTAAGCAAAAAACTTATTTTTAGGAAACAACTCAAAGCAAGTCCTTAGTATTTTTCAATTTGGTAAACTGAAACCTAGATTCAAAGAAAAAGATGGACGTTTAAACAGAGAACTGATAAAAAAATATTTATTTGAGAAGGAAAAATAGTCAAAAAAAAACAATATAAGAGCCATGTCAATCGCCTTTTCAATACCGTAATAAACGAATTGAAAATTATCATTTACCATTACTATTTAATTCGTCAAAAACTAATTTAACTGCAACTTTTGCCTCATACAATATATTTTTTTAACGAAAGAATAGCCAAAAAAAGTTCTTTTTACTGCATTGATTATCCAGTTTTAGATACGAGATTTAGTAAATTGAGACGATTAAGAAATCCACTTTTATTTTTCTAAAAAACGACACTTATGAGATCAACTCCCAGCTCATAAATGTGTCAAAAACTTGATAAACCTTGTTAAAAACTCTCAGAGGCTAATTACATAATAAGTGTACTGAAATAAAAAACCAAAAAAATCTATAAACAAAGAAAGCCTTACAGTGAAAGATATTATTAATAAATTCTGTTGTACGAAGTTCTATATGACACCTGTTACGAATTCTCCATCAAACAGAAGTGCAAAAATGTTGCGAAAATGTGTACGACATCACGCAATACTTTCTCGAAACTTGCAAAACATCATTATATAAAAAGATTTCAAAAGATTATTAAAACTAAGAAAAAGACTATGAAAAAGTAGAAAGTTTAAATGCCTACCTTTGTTGTCGCCACGACGTTTGCTTTCCGGCTTTTAAGTCTCAGTTTGAGACCAGAATTTTCTAAATGTAAGAGCAAAGAACTTTTGTCACCACCGCCAACCACAGCCTTTCCTGTAGAAGTGTCCAACTGTTTTACCTCATTTTGCTCACTTTTCTTCTGTTCCGCAGAAATACCAATGTCTGAACTACCATTACTATAGACTGTATCAGATTCCCCGCAAACATTTGCTGAGTGAACAGTCTGCTCACGACGTGTTGGCAGTTTAAAAGAAAATCTTTGATTTCGACGAGTAAGCGCATCGAATTTGGAGGATTCGTGTGCAGCGACAGGTTTGCGTTCATTACGACTAATCAATAGTTGAGGATCAGTCTCTACGGCAAAATGAACCCTTTTTTTCGTTCCCGCAACAGTATCTTTAATATTTTCAACATCTTGCAAAATCAAGCTATTCTTTTGTCTGGCTTTCAACGTTTCTGCAGTTTTGCGCCTAGAGTCTCGTAAATGCTGGCCACCTCGACTGAATCCTCCATTTCCCAACTTCATTCGCTGCGTTTGCCTTGAACAAATCAATGTTGACCGACGTCTGCTTTGCAGTCTGTTGTAGATGCTTTGCTTTGCATCGTTCCGTTCCCGATGGCTAGAACAAGTGTTTTGCGGTGACACAGAATTCTGTCCAGTACTCTCTTCACCAGAATTAACGTTTTCGCAGCTGATTTCCGTGATTGTAGAAAAACGTTTCGGCAGTTCATACGTCTCCAAGAAATTTGGATATCTTTCATTTTCTTTGTTCCATTCATTGTCATCCATAATCGCTTTAAGCATTTTTTACAGTAGATCGAATAATAACTGTTATAGTAGTTTTCGTCAATGAATTTTTTCTCATAAAACCACTCTAAAAAAAGTAGTGAAAAACCAGACAAGATTAACATTTACGTGAAACAAAGCAGCACATCATTTCCAAACAGAAACTTTGAATGGAATTCTATTAGCAAATAAAAAAAAACTGCATAAAAATATTTTCATTTCAGAACACACGGTAAATTTTGCTAACTGTTACAAGGTCAATCTGTATAAATCAAACACTTTCCCGATTAACAATAAAAACTTTTTTTCTTTGGCATTTGCCTGACTAATAGTCCGGTTTAACTCCCAAGTCAGTTCTTTGTTCACAGCGTAGAACAACAACTTTTCAGGTTTTTGCTCAACTACAGTTTTCTTCAGAGTTTTAAAATTCTTCATTCATAAACATAAAAAAGTAATTTTAGGCTGTTAAAACCAAATTAATTTCCTTCAAAAAACGCTTTTTGTGTGGAATTTTTAATTTTCTCGACTGCAGAAGTTCCGTAATGAAAGCATCATGAGCTTATAATTAAAGGCTATTGAAAATGACTAGAAGCGGAGTTTCAGTGTGCCATATCAGCGCTGCTCCACTGTGCGATGTAAACATATCAGCCGAAATGTTACAGCAAGGTTCCTAATTGAAAGTTTTATTCCTTTTTTATCGATCATTTCTTATGATGCTCGTTTGCTTCAGAATTTTCAAAAAATTTGGAAGCTGTAACACACTCTGATGTATACTTTGCACCTATTCACTTTCCAGTCAGCGCGTTAAGAACAAGTACTGCCGTCAACTGTTGCAGTAACAACTACTCGACAATTATTAGATAGATTTGAAGTCTCTTCAATCAGCAGCCTCGTTCCTACTTCTTGTCCCTTGTCTAAAACGGCTCTCTTCTTCGTAGCATTGCTTTACCACTTGCTTTGGAAGCATTTTGTGAGAAAAACTCAAATAATAGTTCAAAACAGCGACAAGTAGGAATGGAAGCGACACATATGCCAAAAGGGGCTTCAGTAAAATGATGTACAATCGTTCCTCTCAAATAATTTTTTTGACAGGAAGAATTCTGGTCTCTAAGTTTTGTTTCATTCATATCAGTTTTGGCAGTATCGTCGGTCCCCTACGCGAAATGTTATTTAAAAAATTCTCGCCTTTTCTTCTGAATTTCCGTCGAAAATT